AAAAATATTATCAGTAAAGAAATAACTTACCAGTCATCGTTATCTTCTTTGTAAAGTTTTATTGTATCGTCGTAGCTGCACGATGCTAAAATCTAAAATCAAGATAAGGGGTTACCCATGACACAAAATTAACTTACAAGACGAATATGTCTTTAGTGGAATCGGTATGGAATATCAAACACATCACATACTGCTTCTTCGCCGGGAGCTTTTCACTCACAAATTGTAGACAGAGAAACCCTAGACAGTTATGCTAGACTCATAATTACTAACTATAGAGCACTCTCTCTGAGCGATTCTTGTCTCGTACGGTTACGTCTGCCTGTGGTGGCCATTCCTTCCACATCATCCTGTTTTAATAAGTTTTAGCGTTTTCGGCAAGATTAATCCTGGAATCCGAGCGGCGTTTTGTTGACCGTGCGAAGCCGGAAACTGACGCCGCGTTGTCATGGGGGGCATTGGTTGAGAGGGTGAGAGTATAGACATCACCACTCACGCCTAAGCACAGTAGGCCGCGCTTGAATATTAAAAACAAAAAGAAAGCTTTGCTGTTGGTTTCCTTTTAAGGATGAAAGAGAGTAGTATAGCACGCAATGGGTACTCCTCCAATAAAGCTGGAATGTTCCTTGACAGGCTTATCAGAGCGAGGTAGGATACTTCATTTCAGGGGTATGGTTCGCTTCAACTCGTTTGTCGTTGACCGGCAACCTAGTTATGCAAGTTGTATTTCTTTCCGTGCAAATAGTATTAAGGAGGACGCGGGCAAACTAATCTACTAACACTAATCACCACAGATGTTTGTGACGATTTTTCATCCTGCTTTTAATTTAGCTTGATTTTGTTTTAAAGAAAACAGGCCGCGAAAATGGCACTAATTTATTCCACCCAAGAATGATGAGATTCCAACTTAAAAGATGGGACTTACCAGTGCACCCTATACTACTAAGGTGCTGACTTGCAGGCACAGGTACATTATTCTAATAACACTGACCTCCACATGCTTGTGAAGATTTTTCTTTCAGCTGTAGCATGATTTTGTATTTAAGAACATAGGCCGTGACATCACTGGTGTTAATTTATTCCACCAAACAATAATGAGACTCCAAGTTAACAGATCGGACTCAATCTCTACTTTTCCTCCTCGCTCCCTTCTCCACTGTTTCCTCGTTTGACCCCAGTTCAGCTTTCGCGCGGCTTTGTTTCCTACTTCACGTACCACAAACGAAAAGCACTCCAAAAAACCACCTATTTTGAAACTAACCGAGGTAAAAAGATGTTTTGTAGGGCATGCCTTTTACACGAAGCAGAAATTTTTCGTATGTCATATTTTACATCGATCACGAAGTTAGTGTTACACCGATCGCTGTAAATCAAGAGAGGAGAGTAGATGATCACCATCATATTCAGTCTCATGTGCTGAATCAACATCGTGTTATAAGGGTCTGAATGGGGTTTAGTGTTAAGTGATATTTGCCTATAATTTTTAGCGTTTTATCGAGTTTTTTTTTTCGTTGTTTACTGTTCCCGGAGAAAATAATGTAAAGTGTTTGGAGGGTTTTTCGTGAAAAAACCGGTATCTTTTAGCATTGTCAACTGCTCCTCGAAAATCGGTAAAAACAGCTCAAAGGAGCTGTGGCAGTCTCCGGACATCTACCGTCTTCGGCAATCTTGCGCAGTCTTTGGAAATCTTCTGAAATTATCGGGAATTGTTGGGAAATGGCCGAAAACCCCTTGACATACTAATCAAAATAATATTAGCCTTTTAGGAGCCGTTTTTATTTCTTTCTCTGCTTTCTGAAAAAATACTGTTTCAGTGAAATTTTATTACTGTTAGTGTTAAAATGCACAAAATTTAACTGATTCACATATGTTACAGAGCCAAAACATTAAGTGTTTTAACACTTAGTGTTTTTTTAATTGACTCTGGTACTCCCATTCATACACTCCATTATATTCTTAGTAACATTATATCAGGGGAACCCAAAGACCGAATGTTTCTAAATACGTCCGTAGCGACTCAAATGGTTTTTTTCTACGCTTTAGAAGTCAGTTTGGTTAATTTGGAGCTTCCCTAAGAATTATTTATTGGCTCGGAAGTGAACTTTGGCCGTCTCGAAAGTTTAAGGTGGCATTTTCGTCTCATCCGAAACTATTAGCTACTCTGATGGGTCCGGTCGTAAGTTAGAGGACATAGATCAGCCATCTGACTTTCGTTTGAAAATTCTAGGGGACGTTTTGGCTTCACGCTAAAATTTTAAGGAGTAGTTTTTCAACAATAATCGCAATAGTCTTGGTAATAAAATCTGAGAAAAACTGTAGTAGAACACCTCCAAATATCTTAGACGAACGGAATAGCGAGCCTTTCTCGAGCTTTAGAAATTTCTAGGCAGTTAAAGAGTCGTTGGGTGCCCCTGATCTTAAGAACAAATACAAATGAACATGAAAAGCAGAATTAACTACAAAAAGCGTCTATCATGTTCCAAAATTAAAAGTAGACAGCCAGTGCAGCTGAAAAGCGTCTTCGTTGTTCTTGATTATCCCCCTCCATTTTGTCTGATGTTAAGCAGTTCCATTATAACTTTACGGAGATCTTTCTTTCTCCAGCAGTAAACAAAGGGGTTAAGAAGCGAGTTTAGAAAAACACAAGACAAAACTATATCTCGCAAGATATCTTTCAATATCCCGTACGTAAGTATTGGCACGTACGAAAGAAACACGAGGGCGATAATGATACTTGTGGTTTTAAAGGCTTTCCTTTCCTCTAAGAATTTAGTCTTCCCTTCGCTTGGAAGCTGTTCTGTTTTTATCCGATTCATACGTAGGCGTGAAACAAAATATACTGTTGTATGACAGTATACGATAATTAGAATGGCTGGCATGACGGTTACATAAATAAACCATTTGGCAAACAAACGTGTGGCTGGTATTGGATGAAAAGTTACAGGAATAACTGAAATAATCCAACTACAAAATACAACAATCGTTAATCTAGGTGTGGTCACCAGGCTAGAATATCTAAGTGAGTATTTCATAGCTATATAACGCTCGATACTCAGTAAAGCTAACATCAGCAACGATTCAACACTTGGAAAAATATAGAAGAAGACTGCCGTTTTGTAAAAGGCGCAATAATCCTCCAGCGATGCACCTGAGAGATAGTAAATTTCTTGTGCGATGAATAATGGTTGTGAAACCAAGCCGACTACCATGTCTGTTGCCGCTAAACAGGCCAGTAGTATGTTGTAGTTAGACTGCAATGGCCGCCGTGTTTTTATCGCAAAGATAATTAACGTGTTCATGAAGATGATAACGGGACATGATCCTAAATTCATCGCGATAACAGGTAGAGCAGCGTGGCTGTCTTGCTTTTTAGTCAGGCGACAACTAGCGGCAGCATCCTTGCTGGCTGAGGAATGACTGAAATTCATCTTGGCTGCCAGGACTGACTCCCAATGGTCGACAGTTTTTTAACACCTGTGATGCGTTGACAATGTTCGTTCTTTAACGGTCTCTGTTATATGATTCTAAGGATATTAAGCTATGGTAGGAGTATTTTCACTCACCTGGCCAACAGCTATGCAAATTTCACTGGAATGAAAGAAAGCTTGTACTGGAACGCCTGTACGGCCGCCGTTTTGGCGCATCAATGTGGCCGACGTGACGTGGATGAAAACCCTCTTTACCCGCAAATGACTAATGCACTCTCGAATGTGTAAAAACCAATTGCTAAGAAGTGATATAACTAAAACCCGAAGGGACCACAACTTACCCCTTAATCATTTTTCTTGTTCAACAAAAACAAC